TCAAGGACTGTTACAGCTGAGAAAAGCCAAAAAAGGTAAAAATTGCAAGTTGAATACGATGCTTAGGGACTGCATCCATGCAGTCTTTCTCACAGTCATATAAAATTGTCACTGCCTTCTTATGGCCTTTTAAAATTATTTCCCAATCTATGTTAGAGCTCTAAAATTCCCAAGCAGTCCCCCATCCCAGCTGACACTGCTTAGCATATGCAGTTGGTAAAGTCTGGCTTGTTAGTGTCATTTACTAAGACTATAGCAGTAAAATAGGAATAAAAAATAACATTGAGAATTCTTGAATTTGAAATAAATACATAAACCATGTATCTGTGAAACAAACAAGCGTCTTATGTAGACTTCAGCTTACAACCATTTAACAACTATTTGAAGATATGACAGCCCTGAAAAAAGTATTTTATGACCAGTCCTCACACTTAAGACCATTGTAGCATTCTTGTGCTCACATGATCAAAATTTGGGCATTTGGCAACTGACATGTATTTACTACAACTGCAGTGTCTCAAGTATCATGATTATCAACTTCCCAGAGGGCTTCCAACAAGCAAAGTCAATGTGGGAAGTTGGATTTGTTTAATGACCACAATGATTCGCTTAACAACCATGGCAAAAAGGTCAAAAAATCAGATGCAACCCATTTAATAATCATATTGCTGTGCTGTTCCTGTCCCAATTTTGGTTCTAAGTTGAGCATTATCTCTATTAACATTGTTGAAAAGAAACAGCAATACTATGCTCAATGAAATCTGATAATTTCTGAATGTATGTAAATTGCTAGGTAATAAATTTAAAGATAGCATAAGATGAATTTCATTTTATAAGAAGTAAAAGATAACATTTCTTTGAGTCCAGCTTGATTCCTGGTGACTTCATGGACACAGCCATGGGGTTTTCTTTGAACTACACAAAAGTGCTTTGTCAATGTCTTTTTCTGGGCCTTTTCCTCTCTATTGCAGTCTACTGTCCTAGGAGTCCTTGGAAGTCTTCTATCCAAAGACTAAGCAGGACCCACCATACTTAATTTCTGAGCCCAAGGGCTGAAATGCAGTAACAGACCTCTGCAAGGGGGCTTTATTCCTTGTGGCTGCATCACTGCGGCCTTCTTGGGAGCCATAGGGAAGCCATAGGGAAGCCATTGCTTTCTTCCCAATCTAGCTTGCAACCCTAGGATTTCCTACAGGTCTCACCATAAGTATTAACCAAACCGTCTTCTGCTTAGCTTCTTACTCAGATTGGGTCAGTCAGGTTCTGCCATTGGCTGAGTCCTGATAAGAAACATGCACATGGTACCAGTTATAATCATATCTATCTGTATATCTGTCCTAAAGCATAATATGATAAAGTCGGCTAAAATTAACTTTTTTATGGCTTAGCCTGCTATGCAAGCCAACTCATTTGATTAATTTACCATTTGACATCTTGTGCAAATACAGATGAAGAGAATCATATAAATGCAGCCTGTATCTATTCTGGAAGACTGGAAGAATTTCTAAAAGAGAGTTTGGAGATGAAGGTTGTAGAGAGGAGAGGAAAATGTTTATTCACATGCTGCTGAATTTCAAATTGTGTTACAAAATAGGTTTGTGTGCACCTTTTTTTAGCAGGTCAAACTCTACCCATTAAAACACAGTAGTGCTAGAGGAGGTCAGAAAGGACCCAAAATTTCAGTGAGAACAGTAACTACACTGGCCCAAATGAACCCTTGCTCCAAGAGCATGTGGACCTTCTTACAATCCGGAGGAATTTAAAGAGGAGACATTGAAGAGAATACTCTGATGGAATAAGGAGAATCTGAAGTGCTAATAGTTTCTTCAGAACTGCAATCTAGTTGTCAATGTGGCTGGATTGCACAATTGTAGTTTTTGGGTTGGCTTTGGGATTTTGTCTGTGTGCACAGTCAGTCACACTAGCATATGTGAGATTCCTTTGGTCCTCAAGAGGCTGGAGTTTGAAGCGTCTCCTTATGATTCATCCAAGCTGTGAGTAATGCCACATGTGAGGAACTGGAGAGTCAGGAGCAGCAGACTCACAGCTGGAGCCAAGCGTGCAAGCGGCAGGATGAAGCAGCTTGGAAAGAACATTTGAAACAGGTTAGCAGATGTAGCCGACTGAAAGGGAACAAAATTCTGCACTATCCAACGGAGAGTACATCTGTATGTTGTAAGAGGCAAGACACTTTAATAGGAAAGAACTTTAAAGTTGAACAAACTCTTCCTTAGAGCATAAGATAATACCACGAACTCATTCAAGAATTGAGAGCATTCCTACAGGGAAATTCCTCAAGACATTCTCAAGATCCTTTCTAACTCATCTTATGCGGGGGGTTTCCCTATGCACTTCAGTATGTCATTGGTGCTTTATAATGTACTATCAAGGGTATCTTGTATCCAATGTTCTTATTGTAAATTAAGAACATGAAGCTAAGGTAAACAGTGCAGCTTTTATTAAAAAGGAATTGGTTAGACATCTTGTAACCAAAATTAATTTTCAATTTATTTCTTCAGATTTTTTAAAATCACACCTTCATTACATAAATAAGACAAAGCAGTGAATGCTTTGTGACATGCCAGCCTTGCCCATCAAGACAACTTTGTTTATCTATTTGCCTTCGAATGATCAGGACTAGTTGTAGTTTACTCAAAACAAAGGGGCCAGGTTAGGAAATGGTAGTTTGTAGGAATAAAAATGTGAGCACCATTTTCTCCTTCTTTTATAAATTGGTTTAATCCCTCCAAACAAATTGGCAATTTCTCTGAACTGAAACAAAAAACAATGTCAAGACAAATACAAATTAGGTTTGCCAGTTATTCTGACCCACTGAAGCAAATGAGAAATTTGTGAATAATAAAAATGGATGAGTGCCTAGTACTAAAAGAATTATTTTCAGCATCAGCTTAAAATGATTGATTGACTATTTTTAACATGTTTTAATTTACTTTTGTACTGCTGACTTTCAAGATTTATGATTAGAGTTTTTATTGTGTTGTTGCCCGTTTGTTGTATAATGGCCAAAGGACCATCTTGAAATAAATGTTACTGAAAATAAGAATACTGTAGTCTTGCTTGAATTACTTCTCTAAAATATGTTTAGGGTACTCTGAATGTGATTTAAAAAGCAGCTCAACACTCCAAAAAAGGATTACTTCCACCCAGAACTGTTCAAGAGGGTGATTAAAAACAGTCAAATGGCAGCCATGACAACTCTATGCAACTGAAGCTTTTTCACATACATAATGCACATAGCACATGTTAGATTTTGATTGCACAATTAACAGCTTCATATTTTAACCCCTCCATCTGTCCATTCTATTAGATAAAAATCTTTGGAAGTAATTAATCTTTCTGCACTTGAGTTCACTTTTAAGTTGCACGACCCTACCGAACAAGCCTCCTTTTTTGGGGGGTGCTGTATTTTCTCAGAGATAATTTGCTTGGGATGCCAAGTAGGACCAAAGTAAGTGATAGCAAGATACCTTCTCTTCCCAAGTGTCAGAGAAGAGCATCTCTTTCTAATCCAAATAACAAGGGCATAGGTGCAGAAAACACCTATGAGGAGAAGGCTTAGTACCTATGGATTTGCAGGCTTATCTTCTCCAGCCAGAGTTGATTTGCTTGACAGGTGTGTTTTCTGGGAGAAGGTGCTGGTGATTCTCACTCTCAGGAAGGGAAGGTAGACCTGCCTATAGGCTTTTATGGGTCAGCCTCCTTCCAGAAGCTAAGTTAGTTCCTCATCTCATCCCACTGAATTTTTTCAACCTTAATTAAAACAAATTTCTTGCGATGAGCATTCAAGAATAACTTATGTTTTTTTCTCTCTCTCTCTAGTTATTCCTATTTTATCATGGACATTTTAATGTATATCCTTTTTGAGTATCTTACTATGGTCAACCATCTGGAGACTTTGCAGATTACAAACAAGATTTGGATTTGTTTTGCGACATGCAAAATAAACTCTCATTTATTATTTTATTAAACAAAATTAGATAACTGCTCTACTAGAGAGAATGCTAAGCAATGAGCAGAATAAAAACACAGTACACTAAAAAGACCATTTAAAACACTAAACATCATTGAGGCCTCAATAAAACTTGTATTCATCCTCTATCTCAGCTTCATCAACATCCTGGCCCCAATCCCGGGGAAAAAGTCAGGTTTCATCATTTTTCCAAAAGTCAACAGGGTTAAGGCCATCCATTTCTCCAGCAGATAACTGTTCCACAAGTCAGGCACCCTCACACAGAAGGCACACTTCAAAGGATCCATCAGGCAACACAACTACACTGTGGGGACCTGGACTATGCCTACCCTACCAAAGCAGCTGGGGACAGATAAGCTCATAAGTAAATGAACAAGCACACAAACATAAATATCTCCATCTTCCAATTGCCTGTCTCATTTAAGGGATTCCAATCAAGCTTGCAGCTATAATACAACCTATATGGATAAAAGGTTCCCCAAAATTTAATTTTCTTAAACAGTTTTGGATATAATCAATTATAGCTAAAGAGAGATTTTCTGAGAGGCAGGATAAGAGAAATCCACTTGGTCAGTCAATATTCTTTCCAAGAATGTTCCAAGAGATAGCTGGTGCAAGAAGACAAGAAATCAAATCTTTCAGCAGCATTTTAATGCAAGACTGAATATAAATAATACAGATGTAATTGTGCCTAAAGAAATTCCAATTAGAGTACTGTGTAAAAGAAAAGAGTATTTCTTTTTGACTGATGGACTTTAAAAAAAAATATTCCAAATTTATCCCCCAATCTACTTGTTCATCTGGCTTGAAAATATCCTGTTAATTCAATTGACGTCTGCAGGGAGGTATTGACCAAGAATTCCAAACACCCCCATTCCACCCCCAAATCACTTTTATTTAATGCTTCCCTTGCACAAATTGCCCAAAAGAAATTCTGCTGATGCAGCAAATATTTCCACCTCAAACTTTTTAAACATCATAACCAGCTGCTAAAAATACATATACTTACTGCTAGAAACAGCATGCAATACATGGAGAATGATGAATGTCCAGAATAAAATGACAGTCTGAAAAATAAGAATAAATGCATTTGTTATTTTTTTTAATATACAAGAATCTGTTCCTTTATAAAAAAAAAAAGGAAAAGAAAATGCAGAGCAAATGTAGCAGATTTTTTTCACATTTGAGATGCAAAATTTGAATTTGGCAAAATACACTCAGTAACTTTGGACAAGTTACTATTTCTCATATTTTCCTTACTGGAAAATTGTGAAGAAAAATGCTAAGCTGAGTCCTTGAAAGAGAAGACAGTGATATAGACATATCCAAACAGAAGCAAGGAGAGCAATAACAGTGTTTTTGTAGTTTACATACAATTTGTAATTTCTATTCCAAATGAGTTATGTTCACTTGAATTAATAAATTAAAATGTTTGTCTATATATTGATCAATGTTTTATAACTTTAACATTTATCTATTTGATTCTGTACTGCCTTAAAAGTTCAGCTTGTCAGCCCAAAAGATTAAGAGAGTACTTAATCCACAATACAAACGATGCAGCATTATTAAAACATAACTGTGAACAGTTTGGAGATATAGGATTACCCAGTTTTGGATTTTATACCGTGGGGTGCTCAGCTGGCTTTTGGGGTTCTCACAAGCTTTGATTCCTAGCCTTGATGCAAGGGGTGATCATAACGTCGCAGAACTAGACCGTATTATCTCCATATATGGATGAAAAGGATGAGAGTGAGAGAAGAGCAAACAGTGTGCCTAAACAAATTCATGCCAAGGATTTCAGACTATTACAATTAGTCTTCTATTCTTGGATGCAGCGTTGCCAAAAGACACAGCCAATATAGCCTGACCTTTCAACATCAGAATGCACCATGGTATATTAGCTATACTTTCATGTTTTCAGACACAGATCATGTCTCTCCTAGAGAACTTCAGAGAAAGTTATTAATGGTATTCTAATTCCATCTGGAAATACCTGTCCTTTATAGCTTATCAGTTCCCCAGCTGTATTTGTTTTTCTTCTCTGTCACTGCCTGCCATAATTTTAATATTTTAAACAGAGACACAATAGAGATACTGCTCAGTGTTCCTCTACAACTCTTTTTTCCAAAGGCAGTCTCAGAGCAGAACATTTTGTCCCTCCTGCCAGCCATTTTTTCCAAACTCTTGCAGCATTTGTGCAGACAATGTTCCTCAATCTCTGTCCCTCCAGTCCTAGTTGGTAAATAAGCAAACCACAATGAGAAAGTGTCCATCTCTGGAAACTCAAACCTTTATTTACTTATATTTCATCTTCCTCTTTTATCATGTTGTTAAATTATTTAAATCATCCCAATAGCAGATCATATATCAAGTCTCAAGTGCTTTCAGGATGCTATTGTTTCAACTGTCCTTGCATATCTTTCTCCTGGAAAGGTTTATTTCAACAAGTCAGATAATACAAAGCTAGAGTATACATTTTATTTTGACTTCTCACTCTGGCCATTAAGGCTAATGTTAACACTTCTTTCCCAAATAAGCTATTTAAAAATATGAAGGAGCTACTAACCTAAAGATACCTGGCACTAGAGCTCTTTCTAGGTTCATCAAGAGAGAAACAATCTAGAAGAGATGTTTTTTTCATCACAAAACATACATGGCATACATCTCATGGAAAACATAGCAAGAAGTTAGATTTGTAATTCTTTTTAAACATGCTTTGAACAATTCTTCTATGTAGTTGCACAAAATTCATCCTTGTCTGAAGAAGATACTATTGTAAGACCTTTCACAATGCTATCAATACAATTTGGATACTGACATGGTATGTTCTGTATTAGGAAAAAAAATCAGTTTGTAATCTAATCATGAATGCAACCAAATTATGTTAACCATTTTAGCTCATATTGCAAAATCATATTTTTTATCACTAAAAGTTAACTCAAGGAGGCACCCTGAGTAGAGTGAAGGATCTTAAAAGGAAAAGGGACTTGAGCTGGGTTGTTTAAATTGCAAGAGAATATGAGGCAAATAAAGAACCATGTAGCAAAACCTCCATGTTTGCTCAAGTGTATAATTTCGAGAAGCTAGGCTAATTATATCTCTGACAACTGTTTCCATATAATAGCTAAGTTTTTTAATTCCAACTTTGTCCAATTCAAATTTAAAAAAAAATTAGAACTGATTTTTAAAATGTGTCCCTCTGATAATGCTAAATCAAGATGATGCTGAAAATGTTCTGAAAAAAAGAAAGGAAAGCATTCACAAATAACAGCTTATAAACAGAATTTATAAACAACTAATTGCCCCCCCCCAAGCATGAGGATGCAGCTTCCAGATCCCCACAGCAGTTTAAATCTGTTGCCTCTTCTTCTCACCATCCCACATTTCAAGAAACTCATAGTTGCTGAAGTGGGGCAGTTGTTAATTATTGACATAAGTGACATCTTTAACCTGAGAACTGCTGACTCTCGGCATATTACTGTTACTCAGAGCAAATGAAGTCATATGAGATCTGAATTGAACCACAACATTTATGTATAGTATCTACAGTAAGTAATCAAGATTGTAAGAAAAGTAAAAACTCACACATTTTTTGGAGGCTTAAGCATTTGCTATTACCTTCTGGGAAACATCTGCATAATTCTCACTTGCATCCAGGCATCAGGGATAGTGTAACCCAGTAGGAAGCAGAACCCAGAATCAAGTATTTGGCATATTCAACTTCTTGATATAAATATGATACAATGTAAGCTAACTCAATAGTAAGCTATAACAAGCTCTATAGCATGTAATAAATAGATGTCCTGACTAATTAGATGAGGTATTATACCATCTAATGGATGTTTGTATATGATTAAAATAGACAATTGTTAGAAATAAAAGGACCATTATAAAACAGAAGGATGTGATTTGTAATTAGGATAACATAATTTTCTATAAGATGGGAAATATGAAAATACTAAGAGGGTCGGTATAAGGGAAGTTTTCAGTTACCCAAATGTAATTAATTATGAGAAAAAAAGATAATTGATAAAGTTATTTTGAATATTGATGGGAAATTAAAATTGGAAAAAAAGAGAAGAAAAACAGGATACGGATTGAATAAGGGAACTCTGATTGCCAATACATTTGAGATATGTTTTGGTTAGAGAAGATATTATAAACTGATATTACTGACACTATGTATAACATTAGAAACACATGATGAAGATGTTTATATTTAATTGTATAGGTATTAATAGCGGTAAGAATTATACTTGTATAGTGGGGAAAAATGATTATTATTAGAAGAAGTGAGAATCAGGGAAATACTGGATGGTGTAGCATTTTGAGTGAAAGTTAATATATACCACTGAATGATAAAGGAACCCAGACACCGAGTTGTTTATTAAGTACTTATGATTATAAAACTTGAAATTAATAAAATATTTACAAAAGCATGTAATAAAATTGTACAACAATCCTCCATCCTTTCTCTTACTTTCATAAAATCAATACACTGATTGAAAGTAGATAAACATTTATGTAAGCATTAATTTTTAGAGCTGTTGCCACAACTTTTGTTAATGACCACTACTTTAAACATGTTTAAAACTGGATCAGACAAATTAAAGTAGCAGAGGGCTATTAATAACCACCTCCTCAATTTGGGATCCTCTGTGTTTTATTGGACAATAATTTCTTCATTTTCAGGCAGCATATCCATCAACTATGCTGGTTGGGAATTCTGGGAACTGTAATCCCAAACTCTCTGAAAGGCATCAAGTTGGGGAATGCTAGATTTATTGCATCTTTACATTGTGCAGCATGTCCTTTTTGAGGCAACCTATGTTTAGTTTTGCAATATACCAAAATTACCACAACTTCTAAAACAATATGAAGAGGTTGATTCCATCCAGTATGCAACTCTCTTTTAAATGAAATATGAATGCTAAGAGGGTAAGATAAAATCTCAGATTTTCAGAGTTATCATGTGCTTTAACAAGTCACTATTTTAGAAAACATCAAACTGCCCAGCATATTCAATGTATAAACATTAGAACAAACCATATTGCAAAACACAACCTCACTACCACGAAAACACTCCTAAAACTGACATTTCAAGATATGATGTATTAAGATGAGGACATGTTTTCAATCTGATAACAATTGCATACCTGAAACCATCTTTTGCATCCACATTATACTTTCTCATCATTTGCTACACCCTCAGGTCCAAAATAAGTAAATATAGCAGATGGTATTTTCAACAATAGAGTATTTCATAAAGGCAGAAAAACATTCAATGCCTCAATGAAGTTACACTGACGGTTGAAACTTAATATTCCAGTACTCAACCACAATATTTTAGAACAGTTTGGTTTCAGCATCTACTCTTCTTGCGGATATTAAAGAGGATTTCCTATTTCCTGACAACACAGAACAAAGTAATAAAATAATTTTTAACAAATACTTTCACCTATTATTTTCCTTGAAGTATGAATTTTCCTTCAAATTCTTCCATCAATAACATTAAGAAGCTTTTTGGAGATGACTGCCAGGGGACTGATGAACTGCAAAAACAAATTTTCTCAATAATTTTCTGAACTTGCTAATTATGATCACATCCCCCACCTCTAACAGTAAGAATAACTCATATTTAACTCAAAAGGTTTATAATAAAGAGTATGCTTTGCATGCACTTTAGCAGAGATGCTATCAAGAGCTAAACTTGAAATGGAAACTTCACAATCATTGTACTGTTTCATGGTTCATTTATGTTCATTTTGGACTTTGACTTTTGGGGGAGAGATGTACATTAAGATTAGTCTAAAGGGAGGCATGACGGCAAAGGGTTTCAGAGCCAAAAGATGTTAATGCTCTCTCCAAGCCCTTTCAGATTTGGATTCTGCACTCCAGAATTGAAGGTGGTAGGAAGAGGGAAAGAGGACATCTCTTTTCTCTTTTACAAGTCTCTTCAAGCATTGGTCAGCCTGAATAAACAGCTGCATTTTTCCTGCTATAAGCAACGAAGTTTAAAAAACTGGATTCCATTTGTGCCATTTCCAATTGCTTCAGGAAGGCTGAA